ACACATGGTGTGACGCGAGTGTGGAGGGCATGTGCGGATATGGTGAGAGAGAAAGAGAGAGAGAGAGAGAGAGAGAGAGAGAGAGAGAGAGAGAGAGAAAGAGAGGAGATGGACACTGACGAGAAGCAGCTGAGTGAAGGTCCAGTCCGACTCAATGAAAGAACGAACAACTGAATGAACCAACTGACTGTCGGACCTGGGCCTAGGCCAAAGTGATATACCGGCCTAGGTCCCGGCACGGGAACAACCTGGTACCGGACCAGGGTCAGGCCGACGGCATGAAACTGGTCCGGTCTCACTGTCGGGCCATAGGGGTACCGCTACACGATCCTCGGACCTGTGAATGGATCAAGCAATACATCAAACATGCTATCCGCTGAAATAGTGGAAACCCAAAAAGAATGGTAAAGGAAACAATCCTACATGTGAAGCGAGCTCCATGCAGGAATAGAGATGCAATGCAGACTAAGCCTCAAGCCTTATCTATGCAACAATGTCCGGTCAGGGTCGACCTAAAAAGCAAAAAAATGTCTAACGTGTGTCGGCCAAGAAAGAGTAAAATATCTCCTGAGCCAAAGAGACTGATTATAAATCAACACCAGGGCCCTAAAGGTCAAGGAATAACTAAACTAATGTCCTAAGTCAAAAAAGAATGTGGCACAGTCTCACGTTCCCTGTACACAATGCACAATACCTGAACAAAAGAGAAGGGAACTCAATCGCATGGAAGAGGTAGGAATGGGTGGGAAGGCGGCAGGTACATCTCTCAGAGTAAACTCCAAGGGGGCACCCACACAACCAGGTAAGGGTCCTCAGGCTCAGAGGGAGAGTAACAGCACGACAGCGGGCTCAATGGAAACCATCAAACGGGTACCGCCAGCTGAAAGGGGGAAGGGCACTCACACAAGGGAGCACACATAAGGTGAGCCTGGAAGGAGAGAGGGCTATGCCGGCATATACATGTGGCCAAAAGCCGCGAGCAAGGAAAACGTACACTCCAGAGGAGGTCGCGCAGCATACGGTAAGGCAGAAAGGCGGCAGACGGACACACCCACATAGACAGGGAAAATAGGGGTCATCATGCGACTGAAGGGTAAGCTCGAGGGTGGTGGATAGGTGGGAATGATGGGAACTCTGTAGCCGAAAAAGTGAAGTAGTCCAATAGATAAGTCTCCAGACTGAAGTCGAACCGAAATAGCCTGGATGAAGTAGGAGTACCACAAGAACCGAGTAGAAGTTCGGAACAATGCGACATGTACTCTAGTACTGAGGTCGAAAGTCGAATGTAGAAGTCGAATGTAGAAGCTGAATGTAGAAGCCGAAACCGGAAGTTGTTGCATAAATGTTCATGAATGGTAAAAGGTAGAGAGCGTATAGGGGGTATAGATCAGTCACGATAATGAGAAGGAAGTCGATAGGTACGCTGAGGGCGAGAGGAATCAACTGCAACAATAGGCGGAACCACATCCACAGGGGAAGGAGGACCTGAGGCGGGTACCATTGGAGCAGGAGGACCCATCGATGGAGGAGGGGGAATGTAAGTATTGGCTGTGGTAGATGGGTCAGTGGGAGGACGAGAAGTAGGAGGGGATGACCATGAAGGGAAAGGGTGAGCACAATCGTAAGCACGCACGGAAGTCATGGCATGATTCAGGTGCTCGAGAGGCTTCCAAGTAGACTCCTCATCAGGATAACCCTTCCATCGAACGAGATACTCGAGGCGGGGAGGGTCGCCATCAGTCATACGCCGGGACGCGATATCAGAGACGACAAACTCCTCGTGACCCTCAATGATGATGGGAGAGGGGCGAGGGTAAGGTCGACCGTTGAACTCGGGAGGAAATCGTCTGAAGAGGCACAAAATAGATACATGGAACACGTCATGTAATTTAGCGTGATACATGGAATTTGGGAGCTTCAATTTGAAGCTCACCGGACAGTCATGATTGGGTCCGGCGGGTGCAAGAATGGTGCATGGTTCGATATATCGACATCTGAATTTCTGAAGCGTGTCGGCTTCTGGTTGGAAGTGACGTGTGTCGACAAGAACCTCGTCGCCGACTTTGAAGGGATGGTCGATGCGAGAGCGGTTAGCGCGAGTGGCCATGCGAGCCTGGGAGTCAGCAATGCTCTCGCGAGCCTTGCTAAGAAGCGCATCCATCTCCTTTACCCAGTCATCGAGGGCAGGGCAGATGGGACACGAGGATGGTATCCCAGATAGACGGAGAAGGTCAGATGGGACACGAGGATGGTATCCCAAGTCACAGTAGTAGGGAGACATGCCAGTGGCAAGTGAAATAACATGGTTATAAGCAATCTCCGTCTGAGCAAGGTGGAGATCCCAATCAGAGTCATTCTCAACAAACTTCTTGAGGATACTCCCAAGAGTTTTATTGGTGACCTCTGTCTGGCCATCTAACTGGGGGTGATAAGAGGAGGAGAGGCGGAGCTTGGAGCCATAGATCTCATGGAGTCCACGCCAGAAATGAGAAGTGAAGCAGGGATCGCGATCAGAGACGATGCGAGTGGGGAGACCGTGATAAATGGCAATACGGTTGAAGTATAGTGAGGCGATGCCTTTGGCTGAACTAGCGAACTTGAAAGGGAGGAAGTGAGCACGCTTAGTCAACCGACAGACAACGACGAAGATGGAGTCGTGGCCTCGTGGGGTAGGGGGACGAAGAGGACCGATGAGTTCCATGGAGACAGAAGTCCAAAGCTGAGTGGGAATGGATAAGGGTTGATGAAAACCGTAAGGGGGGGGGTTGGAAATGTTGGCCTCCTAGCGGATCCTGCAGGTGCGGACGTACTCTTTAGTAAAGGGACAACGGTGCTCCCAATACTAATGGCGGTAAAGGCGGTCAAGTGTCTTGAAGACACCGAGATGACCGGCGGCGCGCTGGTCGTGACACTCAGCGACGGCCCAAACACGGAGCTGGCCAGTAGAGGGCACACATAAGCGAGGAGTATGGGTACCTTGGCGACCAAGCCAGTATAGGAGTCCTGAGGGATCGAGTTGGAAGTTAGGGATGGACTTGCCAGCTTGTAGGTCAGTGTAGATGGACTGAAACTCAGGGCACTGGGTGTATGCATGGCGGTACTCATCCATAAAGGCGGGGTGGATGGTGGGAGCTGAAACAGTAGATAGCTAACGATCCTCGAACTAAAGGTCGGGGCCGCGGGATAAGGCATCTGCGACGCGATTGCTTTCCCCGGAAATCTTCTTGATGGTGAAATCGAACTCAGAGAGGTCACGCCACCAACAAGCCTAACAAGAAGTAAGCTTAGGCTTCGTTTGGAAGGCAGCGAGGACAGAGTTGTCCGTCAAAACGGTGAAAGTGTGACCGTGCAAGTGATGACGTCACTTCTTAACAACGTAGACCAGCGCAAGGACCTCACGTTCGTCGGCAGTATAGTTACGCTCAACGGGAAGTAGCTGTTGAGATAGATAAGCAACCGGACACTCTCCATCACGAGATTCGACTGTACCGTCATCAGCGACGTCAGGAATATAAGGGGGTGGGGCCCCTGAGTGGGTAGGCTCGATGGGTGCAAGATGAGCCGCAGTCGTTGGAGCCGGGGGAGGGAAGCGAGGAATGCGAGGGAGGCGGGACTCAGTAGGATCGGAAGAAGTAGAAGGGGCTGGGTAGATCTGGGAGAGAACAACTCCAATAGCGAAGTCGGACGCGTCGGTGGTGACGATGAATGGACGCGAGTAATCGGGTAAGTGTAAGACAGGAGCTAACGTGACAAGTCGCTTGAGAGAGCGGAAGGCATCCTCATGAGTCGGGGTCCAAAGAAAAGGGAGACGTCCGCGGGTCAAAGGGGTAAGTTGGGAAGAATACTGCGTATAGTTTTTGAGAAAAGGACTATGGTAGCGTGCCTGGTGGTAAACACGATAGTCAGACACAAGCTGGATGGAGTGCTCGACGTCGCGCATCGGTGGGATGTCGGCGTACGAGAACGACAACGGGAAAACGTCGTGGTACTCTTGAATGAGGTCACGAACTGCGGGCTCCAAGTCAGCCATATATCGTACGAGTTCCTCAGCGTCATCGTCAGCGCACGACGGTGGGGTGGACTTGACGGACGACGGAGGGTGGGAAGTAGAGATGAGAGCCATGGAGATAGAAGAAGGATCTGGATCCAGAGGGATGAGCTCGGCGTCGGAACAAAGTGGATAATATTGTAAGAGATCCGTAACGTTCACCATAAAGAAGGTGACGTCGTCCTGTTGGATGAAGTGAGCAAATTGTCGAGGCGAGGTGACAGTGATCGTAGGAGATGGTGTGGGCACGGAAGGCTCCGGGGGAGGAGGATCGGGCCGTGGTGTCGCAGTGGTACCTATGAAAGGTACGCGATACGTCTGTCCACACTTCGTTTTGAGAACGTGAGTGTTGGTCACCCAATCGGCCTCGGTGTTGAAGAACCGACGAGACCACGGAGTGCCGAGAATGAAGTCGTACGCCGTCTCCATCTCATCGAAATGTGCAGAGGAGCGGTGACGACGAGACGCCGGGGGACGATCAGTCGGCTCGAGAGTGAGGAAGAAAGGGAGGTCGGTGACCGTCTGATCGAAGAAGCGTTGGGTCTTGTCATCCCCTAGGGTGACGGAGATGGGAGTCGGAGACCCTGTCGTGGGTAACCGGGCTTCTTTCACCACAGGTGGGTGAATGAAGTCGCCCTAAGAACCGGAATCCCACAGCGCTGAGTACACCCTCGTGGAGGTCCCCAGTTGTACTGGAATGATCGGAAGGGTGCGACCAGGGTCGGAGAGAATGGTGAGAAGGCGACTCAGTGCAGCGACATGGAGGGTGAGTTGCTCCTGACAAGCCTGGAGCATGCTCAAGTCCAGAAGAGAGGACACAACGTCCTCGCGAGTCGCAAGCTGCTCGCTGGAATGGGCTGAGCGAATGGCTCGACACGTCGGTAGTTGCAGCGGGGTAGAAGGGGGGATGGTAGTCTGCGGAGGCGCAGACGGTACTACGACAGAGGGCTGAGTACAATCTGTCCGTTCCTGCGATACCTCAGCTCCAGTAGCGAGAGGGGCGAACCGCGACGGAGATGTCAGGAAGCCCACTACTAAGGAGGGCGCAGGTGTACACTGCACCGTGGTTAGGAGGTGCCACGGGGATGCAAGGCGCCGGGGGCGAACTGAGCACGACGCTGGCGGGAAAGATCAGCGTCGTGGCGGTCAAGGGCGGTGGTGTAAGGGCACCGCGAGGAGGTATGACCGTCCTGGCGGCATCGCGAACACCCACGCCGACCCAAAATAGTCGCGCGCTCCTCCGCAGAAAGGACACCGCGAGGAGGGACAAAGCCCTGAGGGAGGTCCTTCTTAGGGACCTCGGGGGGCGACGTGCCAGCTTGACCGGAGCGGCTGCATGCCCGGGAGAGGGCGGAGAGGATGAGTTGGAGGCGTTCGGCCATAGGGAGGGTAGAGTCCTCCAGGTGGTAGTGGACGGCCTCGCTAAGGTCGAGGTCGTCGTTATGGTCACCCTCGGGCGACAGCGGGGCAACAGCGTCCTGCTCACCATACTTGGGCGAGCTGAAGCGGAGCGAGAAGTGGCGGCCCTGCTGCGCGGAACGGCAGGGGCGACCATGGAAAGGAAAACAGCGCTGGGAAGTGTCGTGAGAGGAGGAGGGGGCGTAACTAGTACGCTGAGGCTGGGAGGAGGAAGTATGTTGAAGACGGGCCCGCATCCGCTGATGGTCCCTAGCGGCCTTGTAAGCCTGCGAGGCCAATGTGAACTCATACCGCCATAACTCGAAGCGGTACTCAAGGGGAAGGTTGGCCAAGAAACGATCGATAAGGGCAGCCTCGGGAAGGAACGTCACATCACAAATGAGGCGAGCGTCCTGAAAGACCTGGATGTGGCGATCCAGGCCGGCAGCGCCACCAGAGTCGGACCAGCGTGTAGTGACGACACGCTCGAAGGCATTAGTAACGTCACGTCGGGCTCCGAAGCGATCCTCGAGGAACACCTGGAAATCCATGAAGGTCGGCGTCCGACCCGCACGAAGGGAGTAAGCGTAGAAATCCTCTCAGGCGTCAAAGGACCGCCACGAAGGCATGTGGAGAGGTGAGCCACCCACGTGTCGGGTGGGCCGCCCATGAGCTGGAGCGTGCGGGTGGCAGACTGTAGCCACCGAGACACGCGTATGCCTATACCGTCATAGAAGGCAATGTCCGTTAAGCGGACGAGTGGTGCGCCACCGTTTTGGCGGTGAGGAGAGCGGGGAGCAGAGGTCTGCGCTACGACCGAGTAAGTCGGCGCAGGCCCTGGAGAAGCGGGTGCAGCTGACTGTCTGCCCGGGCCGCATGGTGGAGCGGTGGGAGGAACAACGACAGGCTGCGAGGGAGCTGTGGTAGAAGAGGTCGCAGCCGCCGAGGGAGTAGGAAGGAGGTGGGATGGGGGTGGAGGGGGTGCAGGGCGGGGGAAGCGAGCCGACAAAAATGGAAGAGTAGAGGAAGAACGGGTTACGTCCAAAGGCGCGGCCACCTGTGAGCGTGGGGGTGGCTGAAGGCGTAAGAGAGCGAGGTCGGCCCGGGTCTGGGCAAGCTCATCCTCGAGACGTTGAATGTAGATCAAGTGAGGAGTGGCAGGAGGAAAAGTGGGGGAAGTGGACGCAAGAGCGACACGGGGCATCCCATAGGGGGGAGAGGCAGGTGGAGTTGCGGTCGTGTGAAGCGGAGGGAGAAGCGGGGTACCCGAAAAAGTTGAGACCACGGCAACGGGTTGTGGTCCCGTAGCTGTAGTGATCGGAATCCGGGCGGGTGCGCCCGTAGGGTGAGGGAGGGCCTGACCCGTGGTGGTCGTCGCGCTAGGAGCGTGGACGGTCACCAGGATGGCCGGGTCAGGGCCGGCAGAGGAGAAAGCTCCGCCGTGGCCACCATGTCGGAGGACGGGGGACCCGGACTGGAAGCCAGGAGAAGAGAGAGAGTGGGGAGAGGAAGGACGACCAGCGTCCTGGAGTTGTCGCAGGCCAGCGCCAAGAGTCGCCATTTGCACCTGTAAGGGCGCAAGGAGAGAGGTAATGAGGGTGTGCAGATCCCCCTGGGGCTGATGGCCCAGGTCCGTCGGCACGGGTGTGGAGCCCGATGCCGAGGTCGTCGCCGCCTCGGAGGCTTGTTACACGCCATCGGTTATGGGGAGGTAACGGGCCGGACTAGAGAGGGCCGGAGGAGGTCCGCGTGAGTGGAGGGCGTAGGGGGAGGTCTGCGATAGAAAGCGACAGGCGGAGCTAGTAAATTGAGCGTGGGCGCCGTCAAAGGGAGAGGGGTGGTTCGGATCTAGGGTGGCCGAATGAGAATGGAAAGTAGGGGTTGTTAGGAAAACCCTAAACCTTAGAAAAACCCCGAGAAAACCCTAATCGGAGTTTGAGTGGTTAGGGTAGGGTACCGGTGACCTAATCAAGAAAATAAAATAGCAAGCATTGGGGGGAGAAGGCGGGAGAAAAAATAAATAAACAACGAAATTTCGAGAGAAAAATAAAAATAAATAAGGAAATAAATAAATAATAAAAATAATTAAAGAAATAAGGAAACAAAATATGAAGAGAGAAATAATATCTATTTTTTTAGAATTTTTGGCAGCATTTCCCCATCGGGTCAAAAATGTGTCAAGGGAAAAGGAGAGACTAAGATAAGCACACTAGGTTTCAAAATGCCGCAAATCAAAAATTTCACAAAATAAATAAATAAATAATAAATAAATAAATAAGTGAATAAGTGGATGAGGAGGTGGAGAGAAATAAAGTATCTGATTTTTTAAAATTTCGGCAACATTTCGTTACCCCCATAGGGTGGAAAGAAAAACAGAAATTTTCGGCAACACTTCGTTACCCTCACGGGGTCAAAATATGTGCCAAAAACAAGAAAGACCAACTCCTAGTGAGATTTAAGGGTGCTGTAAAGAAATTCGAATTTTCAGAGTAAAAAAAAAAAAAAAAAAAAAAAAATCAGAAAATAAGAAGGGAGGGGGGGAAATTAGATAATTCGAATTTTTGGAGAAAAAAAAAGATTGAAATCAAAGAGAAAGGGAAAAGAAGAAAAACAGAAAAATTCAAAGTAGGGGGGGGGCAAGGGGATGAAAGAGTGATGAAGAAGAGAGAAATAGGTGAGAGAGAGAGAAGGAGTGAAGTGGGAGATGGGGGAGATGAGATTAGTARAAGATGGTGAGTGGGGAGGAGAGGAGAGAAAAAGGTGGTGGGAGATGAGTGAAGAGGGAGGTGGGAGGAGGGGGGATAGTGGTAGAGTTAGAAAGGATGATTAGATGATGTGGGGGGGGGAGAGAAAAGGGGTCGAGGGAGGGTAGGTTAGTGGAGAGAGATAATATCAGGCTCTTGGTTGGCCAAGAGCAAAGCACTACCAAGATCCTGTGCCTTCAAGATGCTGCTGGCCTGATGCCACAACAATAACAGGATGGTGATGATGATCTAGGGTTTGATGAGATCTTGATCAGCCACCCTACTGCCACAGTCACACAGCCCCTTAGCCAGGGGGGAAGCTTGAACTGCTGCAAAATTGTTGCTGCAGTAGTAGAAAAATAGTACAAAAAAATAATGTGGCACAACCCCCTAGCCAGGGGGGTCTTCAGTCTTCAGAGCAGACTACCACGTGGCACTGCTGATGACCACGTGCGCAGGAAGCAGCAGCCACGGGGGGGGGGCAAAAAGCAGCCTGATCGTTGCTGCCCTGCTGGTCGCTGCTCGCCGGCGGGGGGGGCGGGGGAGGGTTAAATAGTTGGCATGCACCTCTTCAACAGCAACGCGCCACACTACAAAGCCATACGTACAGTATGGCGAGTGTGTTACGGGAGCAGCCATGCACGCGCAAGGCCAGCAGCTGCCTGGGTTCAAACCCCAGCGGCAGCAAGATCCCATATCTTGATAATATAAATCCGGGAACGGGGCGGGGCGGGGCAGCGGGGCAGCGTGGGCACATGGCGCGTGCATGTGCGTGTGCGGCGGCCTTGGCACAGGTGTGGTGCTCCGCCTGGGACAGAGATGGAGATAGAGGAAGAAGGGGAGTGAGATGTCACAGCGCACCTCCCACGCCAGACTCCAACGCACGTACACCAAACTGTGCGAATGCAGAATGAATCGGAAAACATACAACGGCTGGGGTATACCCCAGCGGACTGACGGGACTGGACTGGACTGGACTGGCTGGTACCGACAGAGGTACCGGCCTGGACTGGACTGCCCCGAATAGAACACAGGCCTGTGAGGACAGGCCAAGGGGCTGGTCTCACAGGCCAACCAGAGGTCTGCTACACGTGCCCTTGCATCCGAAAGTCGAGCCGGAGGACAAGCGGCAGCAGATCCGTCCGAAAAGCGCCAGATTGGATGGCGGATGCATCCGGTCGTGTTGGCAGACCAGGTGCAGTGCAGAAGGGAACTTGGAGATGGCTATCTGCGGTGGGTGGATAGCGGGAGGGGCGGGAGGGGGAGGGAGCAGAGGTTCGAAGCTCCGCTCCGATACCAATGTGACGCGCGTGCGGAGGGCACGTGCGGAGATGGAGAGAGAGAGAGAGAAAGGGAGAGAGAGAGAGAGAGAGAGACAGACAGACAGACAGAGGTGGTGTCGGACCTGGGCCTAGGCCAAAGTGATATACCGGCCTAGGTCCAGGTACGGGAACAACCTGGTACCGGACCAGGGTCAGGCCGACGGCTTGAAACTGGTCCAGTCTCACTTCCGGGCCGTAGGGGTACCGCTACACATGGCCTTCGGGCAGATACAAAATGCATGGCCCTATGAGCTCATACAAACGTACATAGGCTTTGGGCATACACACATACACACCATTATGATACTGGGCTGGGGGTTCTATCAGGTATATGATGGGGTCTACTCACGCATGGCTTAGCTCTAGGGTAGGGGTAGGGATATAAGTCGCTCCGGCTAGTCTGAGCTTCGCCTAGCTTTGGGTAAGCTAGGGGAAGGACGGTAGGATGTGTCTGCGGGCGCTGGCCTGCCTTGCTTAGGTAAACCTGGTGGGTAGACTCTCTGAATTGGGCGTGTAGATGATTGCATGAGCTTGGCGTCCGAAGTTCCCGTAGGGCAAGGTTCCTCTGCTTCCACTTCCATCACGACAGGGAAGTTGGCCCATCCTTGGTGCTTGTCACTATTGTCTGGTCCAAGTTGTCCTTGATACTGGTAGGGTGATGGTCCTGAGTGTTGGTCACAATGAGGTAGGATAGTAGGGACAGGGGGTGCACTGGGAGTATTAACGTGGGGATGGGTAGGGTAGGTGGCCTATACTGTCAGGACAACCATTAGCTGCCGCTACTAGCAATCACCTCGGGTCTGGTCCTTGGCCTCTACAACACCCTGGGGTTTTTTCAAAAAGAAAAGAAAAAAAAGGAAGTGGGCCGGGCTCAGAGTCAGTCCACCAGAGGGCCCACAAACAGAACAAGTAAGTTTACGAGCAGGTCCATTAGAGAGTCTATTTTGTAGGAGTTGCCACTAGCTTACATTCCTTTGCAAACAAGGACATTCATTGATTCAGTAGGGAGGGATACCCTGTAGGCTGGGTTCCTAGCTTACATTCCTTTGCAAACAAGGACATTCATTGATTCAGTAAGGAGGGATACTCTGCAGGCTGGGTTCTTCCCACGTCTGCACAATCCACAAGCTCTGTTTTTGCCAATAAAGATGGACGCTGGACCCGGTTTCCAGCAAGTGACGCTCCCCATTAATAGAATGGACCCATCAAACAGTGGGGACACCACTCCCCCGAGGCTGCTCCTATCACCTCCTGGGGTTGGGATCCGGATGATGATTCAACAAAAATAAATAAAAAAGAGACGGACCCTGCAACTCTTGGCGAGTTGGCTGATGTTGTCAGTA